GGTTCCATTATTCAGTCATTTTTAAATTATGTATGCAAATAAACTGGTGACAATAATTCGAATCACGACAAGTTCTACATGATCTCGTACAATGAATCTTTTGGGGTGAAAACATTTAATCAAGATAACATTAACCAGTGAATATTTAATGTTTATTAAAGCTGTTTTGAATTAGTTATTTTTTGTTGTTGTACTGATTGTGAATTAAAGGGACAGTTCTGATCTGCATATCTCAAGTAATGATCGACAAAACTCCTATAAAGTGGCAGAGACAATAGGAAATTCTAGCTGCATGACTGAAATTTGTGTTCTGTTAAAATAATCAAAACCTGCATTCATTTAGACTCTCGGCTGCTTTTAGCTGGTCAGCCGGAGGTTCTGCTAACCAGCTCCACAACAAATGGTGATCTAATTGGACTACGTCCCTAATATTGACTGAGCTGAGCATTTCAGAAATGGAGTCGTTAAAGAAGATTAGTGGCTCCTAAATCAACCTGTTGTTAGGCAGCAGATGTGGAATGATGTCCAATCAGCTCCTGCTACAAATCTGCAAAAAAAAAAAAAAAAAGAAGTGCATCAGCTGTTTCTGTAAAGCTGGGAGCAAATAAAGGAATGTGTAGATCGCTAAAAGACATACAGAGTTTAAAACCGATATTTTTAAAGGACATTTGTTCAGTCGGTTGATGCTACTTTAGTGGCTAGTTGTGTTTAGGTAACTATCATTACAGTGAATAATTGTTGCCAGATGTTTTTGCTTAATGTGTTAGTGTGTCTGTCTGTTAGCAAAATATCTCATGGCTCACAGAACAGATGTTAAATTATCTTTCAGGAAATATTTGCTAGATGTTTATTTACTTCTTCTTCTTTCAGCTTTTCCCTCTTGAGTGGTCATCACAGTGAGTCGACCTCCTCCATCTCACTCTGTCCTCTGCATCCTCTGTCCTCACTCCAACTACCTCCATGTCCTCTCTAACTGCATCCATATACTGTCTAACATCCTTCTACCAATATAACCACTGTCCATCCTCTGGACATGTCCAAACCATCTCAGTCTGACCTCTCTAACTCTATCTCCCAGTTGTTCAACCTGTGCTGTACCTCTGATGATCTCATTCCTAATCTTATCAATCCTTGTCACTCCTAAGGAGAACCTCAACATCTTCATTTCTGAAACTTCCAGTTCTTCTTGTCCATGTCTCTGTCTTCAGACCATACAACATAGCTGGTCTCACAACTGTCTTGTAAACTTTTCCTTTGACTTTTGCTGACACCCTTTTGTCGCAAATCACTTCTGAAACTTTTCTCCATCCACTCCATCCTGCCTGGACTCTCTTCTTCACCTCTTTACCACACTCCATATTTTCCTGGACAGTGGACCTCAAGTACTTGAAATCCTGCACCTTTGTGACCTGTGCTCCTTGTAGCCTCACTGTTCCACCAACATCCCTCTCATTCACATACACATACTCTGCCTTACTAAAGCTGACTTTCATTCCACTTCTTTCAAGTGCATACCTCCACCTCTCCAAGTTATCTTCCACCTGTTCCCTGTTCTCACCACAGATCACAATGTCATCTGCAAACTTCGTAGTACATGGGGATTCCTGCTTGCCTGACCTCATCCTGGTCCATCACCAGAGCAAACAAGAAGGGGCTCAAAGCCAATCCTTGATGCACTCCCACCTCCACCTTGAAGCTATCTGTCACTTCTACAGCACATCTCACCACTGTCCTGCTGTCCTCATACATGTCCTGTACCAGTCTAACATACTTCACTGACACTCCAGATTTCTTCATGCAATACCACACCTCCTCCCTCGGCACCCTGTCAGATGCTTTTTCTAAATCCACAAAGACACAATGGAGTTCTTTCTGACCCTCTCTGTACTTCTCCATCAGCATCCTCAAAGCAAAGATGGCATCTGTGGTGCTCTTTCTCAGCATGAACCCAAACTGCTGCTCACAGATAGTCACCTCTCGTCTAAGTCTAGCTTCCACAACTCTCTCCCAGATTTTCATTGTGTTGCATTATAGTTTTGACAATAGTGTTTTATGTTAGATGCCCTTCGGGATGTTTATTTACACCTGATTAAATTTTAGAGTTGACCCATTTTAAGATAGCTTCCAAAGCTAGTGGAATGAATATTAGTCAACACAAATGGCTACAAGTCCGTCAGTTTTACAGCTGCTGAGCTAAAGGCTGTTGTGGTAGTAACTGAGAGTCATTCACAGCAAGTATTCTGAAAATAACATCAGTTATTTTTAAGGTTTGATCAAAACAAATACAGCTCTGACATTTCTCAACACGATCTTAAGCTAAAACTCTGGTATAAAAGGCAAAGTGCAATTTGCATCTCTTCCAGTAATGTTAGGCCTGTAGTGAACTAAGCCTCCGGTCAAGACCTGCCTCTGAAGACCTTCATGGGACAGGAACTGTTATTTCATTGGTTTGAATCCAGAAATACAAATTAGCTCATCCAGAGACTTTCTAATTGTATCCTGAACTAATCAATTGAAAGAACACTCTTTTTTTTATATTATCATTACTATTTTTACAATGTCTTTATAATCAAAAGTGTGTTTAGTTCAAACCATTTTAAATGTTGAAGTGAACTACTCATTTTAAATCAGCTGTGAAACAGTATTAATGATTTTTTAATCCTCATTCAAAGTAGAAATCAAGTTAAATGTCTGTTACAAAGTAATTATGCATTTTGATCTTCTGTCTGAAATGAGAAAGGAGTGATGTCGGTCAAAAGTCGGAGACAGTCGCAAACAAGTTTATTGGAACGAACTGTCATGTTTTTAAACCTCTCAGACAGAAACAGAGAAGCTGGCACCTGTAGTCTGTCATTTCTCCAAAACATTTCTCTGTCTGTTCCTAAACATCTCCGCTGTTTATCTGACTTGTAGTGACCCTCTGACGTCACTAAAACCACACCCCTGTTGGTTCTTTCAACCAATCAGGACTTCCCAAAAGGGACCGGAAGCAGAACTCTTTAAAAGTCGACACTTCCTAGTTCCAGATAGTTTTGGGGGAAGAACAGAAGTTCCATGGAGAACAGAAGTTCGAGTGCTGGAGAACAGAAGTTCTGAGTTCCTCTGAGTCTTCTCAGAGTCCCGTTAATTCTTCTGGTTCTGATGGAGTTCGGCTGGAGTTCCTGTCGGAGCCACGATGCCTCGCTGTGGCTCCACCCGGCGAATGCCCTATAACTGCTGAGGAAGTTTGTTCTGTGGAACGAATTATCTCACGACTTCTGCCGAGTCGCAGCCACCCTGAGGAGACGCTGAAAGGTAGCGTGCCAGGGACCTCTTGACCGCAGCTGATTCATCCTCTGCCAAGGTAAAGAGTCGTCACGAGCTTCACTACCAGTGTACCGCGGGCGAACTGCGCTTGAAAGGAGCGTGTTGTCCTGGTTTACAGACATACATCCTCATCCATCTTTTCCCTCCATTTAAACTCCTTCATTTCCCATCTTTAAAACTCTTCTATCTTGCCAGTAATTAATCCAGATATCTTCAGAAATGTCTGTTGTTTTTATTAAGTAAAACGTGCCAAGTTTTATTAA